AACATTTAAGAAGTTTAAAATTTGTATTTTTTGTCAAAAACATATTTTATGATATACTGTCTTCCTTTTACATAGCTTTAGCTATGATGCGTAAGTGATTCCTATGATATGAATCATGATTTACTCCCGACTATTCCTCAGCACTGACTTAACTTTTCCCAGAACGCAATAGTTCCACAGAACAAGATCCAGACAGATCTTGTCAGTGTTATTTCCTTTATTTAACTGAATAGATTCCAGCAGCTTAGTCATGGACTCCTTTGAGAATCTGATGAAAATCATGGATCCTCTACCCAAATATATTAACAATTTAGCAAATAATTTTAGCGGGTTTAGAGACACTTTCCTCAGGTTTTAGCATGCCTTGACTATACATAATGTGAGAGATTATCCCTCTGTCTTCCAGGGTAGCCTGGGAAAGTACAGATAAAATCACAAATCCCTATCTCTGGGACCCACCGATGGGATTCCTGGAGTGCTGGTTCAAGGTGAGACACCTAGCACAGGACCTGGAGCACAGTGACTGCTCAATAAATGTTAACTCAGTTATATTTCAAGGACCCTCTGCTCCCTGTGAGGATTCCTTGGTGTTCCATGCATTCCCCTTGGTATTAGCGTTACTCCTCCCATCTTCACCAACATGGATCACACCCACAGCCATGAAAGTTGACTTGGTCATTCCCATAGCATTAATGCTGCTCCTCCTTTTGGCATGGACATGGATCTTCTCCCTATCAGTGGGACATTTTTCAATCTTTTTGCTCACCCAGCATCTGAACTTCCTTCTTACATATGGTACATACATTACCTCCTTATATGTCTGTGTGACAGACGAAATTCACCTCGTGACATAGCAGCTGAAAATGCAAGATACTTTCTTTCTAAGGCCCCTTGTAACGAATGCATGGGCGCTTAGTATGGGCTCTGCCAACTTTACTCACTTACCATGGACTGTGAATTGAGTACTAGGGACACAACAAAGCAGGGCCCATGGAGAATGGTCTCTGGCAGCAGCGACAGCTGGGATCAGTAGTACCAGTGTTACTGTAGTATTATTGGCAGCATCTAGAGTCATTACCAATGGGATCAGCAGGACAAGCCACAGTGTCTAGTGCTTTGTGACAATATCAGTGGCTTCCAGGATGAACAAGTTCTGCTGCACATTAAGCCGCGTTTGCTCAAGACTTCAGTATAAGCTTCCTTTTTGGGACATCAGTACTGCAGTTTCCTCAGCATCACCATGGTACCTCTTTTCATAAAATCTCGAATAGTAATCTTCATGCTGATCTATATCTTCACGGGAAACTTTGGGGGAAGTAAGAATGAATTTCTCCACTAACTGTGGCTCTTTCAAAATAACAGGTCTAGGAAAACAAGCCATTAGAAAGTGACTGAAAAGCTCTTGAGTACTTTACATGCTGAGAGCAAGCAGAGAACTGAGCATTTTCTTTGCTTATATTTCAAGCAAATACAGCCATATCCATATATTCATGAATGTTACTCCACTGCTTAAAACTTTCAGTAGCTCATTGTCGAACTGAAATGGAATCAGGCTCTGCCATTTCTTGGATTTAAACCTAGGATAATTAGCTTTTCTGTGCTTCATTTGCTCTTCTTTATTTTTTATATATTTTTAGAGTAGTAGAGAGTTTATACTATCTATCTCAAAGATGTTTGTGGGGGGCCTGGCCCATGGCTTAGCGGTTAAGTGCACCCACTCTGCAACTGGCTGCCCAGGTTCGGATCCCAGGCTCGCACCGAAGCACCGCTTCTCCAGCCATGCTGAGGTGGTGTCCCACATACAGCAACTAGCAGGATGTGCAATTACGATATACAACTATCTACTGGGGCTTTGGGGAGAAAAAGGGAAAAAAAGGAGGAGGATTGGCAATAGATGTTAGCTCAGGGCTGGTCTTCCTCAGCAAAAAAGAGAAAGATTGGCATGGATGTTAGCTCAGGGCTGATCTTCCTCACAAAAAAAAAAAAGATGTTTGTGGGACCGGCCTGGTAGTGTAGTGGTTAAGTGCGCACGCTCCGCTTCAGCGGCCCAGGGTTCACAGGTTCGGATCCCGGGTGCGCACCAACACACCGCTTGTCAAGCCATGCCATGGCAGCGTCCCATATAAAGTGGAGGAAGATGGGCACGAATGTTAGCCCAGGGTCAATCTTTCTCAGCAAAAATAAGGAGGAGGATTGGCATCGGATGTTAGCTCATGGCTGATCTTCCTCACCAAAAAAAAAAAAAGAAAAAGATGCTTGTGATATGTATGATGTATCACATATGAAAACCTGGAGTCAGGAAGGCACTAAATAAAAATGAAGTCTGTTCTGTTTAATCTGGCATTTAGAGGCCTTCACTTTGGATCCCAACCCACCTTTCCAATCTCTTCTCTTATTTCTTCTCTTCCCAATGCTTTGGCGACACCAGATTTTTAAAATCATACTTTAACGTGCCATAAACAATTCTATACATTTACTTCTCTGTTCCCTCTGCTTGGAATATGCTTCTCACTTGTTTTCTTATTCACTCTTCAAGGTCCACCTCCTTTGTCCCAATACGTCCTCCACTCCCTAAAGCTATTAATTACTCTCTTCCATGTATACCCACAGAACGTTAATTAGAGCCTATCACTGCTCTGTCTATCACAGTGAATACACTTTTGATTCTGCTGTAGATGATGAGCTTCTTAAGAGAAGAAATCATCTCTCATTCATCCTGGTGTAGCCCTAATGCCTGCGTCATAAGATGTGCTCCATAGATGTTCGAATGAGTCAATGAATAAATACTAAGAGTTGGAAACTACCAATTTGTATTTATTTGGGAAACACAAGGAGTGCCCACCTCACTCAGGAACTGTGAGGAGTGAAGTAAGATTGTCATTTAGAAACTAAATTTTAAGATCTACATAGATAGGCAAAATCAAATAGCTCCCAGGCCAGCAGGACTCCACAGAAACCAACTTGACCATACTATTCTATGTAAAGAAAGTATGGGCAATTGAAAGAAGAAAGGATTAGCCCCAACAAGCTTAGAAAAATAAGGGTCACTGAGGCACGACCTGATCATGGCCCTTTTGAGCACTTTCCAGGAAAGAGGGAGTCAGGTTTCTGGTGTTTGAGTCCCAACTGTAAGGTTTCCCATGGAGCATCATAGACACATGATCTTATTTTAGCCCCCTCCTATTAAGCATAGGTCATGTGACATAGCTTCCTTTGTTCTCATTTATGCTCACCTTATAGCCCTTTAATTCTTTTTCTTTCCCATTATAAGTTAAAAATTGGTTTCTGATTGTGATTTGGCTTCCCAAGTGGACCCATCCACTATAGACTTCAGTGGGAGACTCCACGAAGGAACTTCTACACCTTCAAAACTAAAGACCAAATCCAGCCAGCCTTCCTTTGGATAATATTTCTATATCACTTCCAATGCAAGATGGACCAATGTCTACACCTAGTACATAAAATGAGGTGGTGGGAACTTAAAAGAAAATTCTCCTACATCTGCCTAAGATGATTTCTACCATGAGCATAGCTGAAATTCTTATCATTGTTTTTCCTTCTAAAAGTTCTATGAATTAACTTGGTTAAGGGTTTATATGACCTTGGAACACCGGCTAACTTAATCCCTAAATTAATGAGTCTGAAATCATTAGGCTTTTTGGCTGCAAGGAACAAAGACTGATTCAGGTTGCCTCAAGAAAGGTGGATGTTTTGTTAGGATACAGGTGGCACTTAAGAGGAAAGAGTGTCGCGGGAACCCAGGGAGGCCTGGTGGGCAACAGGAGAGTCAAGATCCAAGCATGAGAGCAAGATGATTTTGCCCCTCAGCATCAGGAGCTCAATAATTTTCAGTTTCGTGGTCCACCATTAATGGACTTAAGCTCTCTCTCTATTTCTGCCTTTCTGTGTTTTCCCTTCTGTTTTTGTTCAGACCACTTTCTGACATCTCTCTCCCTAAATATCCGAATTTCTAGAGAGGGAAAAATCAGATTAGACCTCAAGCCACCATCGTTCATGTTCAGGCAGAGCCTTGGCAACACACCTCCTCTGAGGCTGCTGGCCAGCCTCTGGGCCGACTCCCCGTGGGTCAGGTGCTCATCCCACACAACCCCCTGTGGTGAGGCAGGGCACTTGAGTAGTTAGAACCTGGTCATCTACACCTCAGGCACCTAGGAGGTCTGAGTATAAGGCAGTTCTCCTCAGAAGGAGCTGTGGGTTGGTAGGAACCTGTAAGTTAATAGAGCCAGATAATTAATCTATAGAGCCAGAGAACCCAAATGTAGGTATGCGAATGGGCTACATCAGAATCTCCTGGGATCCTTTTAAAAATACATAACTTTGGGTTTCACTCCAGATCTACTGAATTAAAATCTCAACGGGGAGGATTAGAGAATATTTATATATATTTTATCTTCCCAAGTGACCAGAGCTTTGACAGTGGGAGGGAACAGAGCTATGTGAAGGGCAAGAAGGGTCAGACTGAGGGTGAGGAAGTCTTCCTGATTCTCTGAATAAGTTTGTAGGGGAATTCTGATGTACTCTAGTGGAAGGGTGGGTGAAAACATATTTGAAAAGTAGGAGTGCTGAGGTAAAGTAATTTCCTTCAAAGAAATAAAAATGTAAGGAATACGTTTCCTGTAGTACCCAGAGTTTACGCAAATGACAGTTTGAGAGACTAGTAAGAACTAATGAGAAACCCAAACACACCATGAACTTTCAGTGTGACTTCATACAAAAGTTGAGAGTTTAAGTCATTTTTTCCCTTATCTATAGCAGGTATATTTAGTGAAATATCATGAGCAACACGTAAAGTAATTTTACCAAAATGCTACCTGAATTATAAATAAAATTTTCATAGAATAATTTAGGAAAATCTTTCACTTTAATGGGACAAAGCTAATAAACTTTTTTGTAATGTTTTAAAGGAAGAGTTATTTAATATAAATATACCCTAATAATCAATATCACTATAAAAAATGAGCACATACTCCTTCTGGATATTATTATCTTTATTACAAAACACATACTTTAAGTTGAGGTAACATTTCAAAGGGTATTTCGCAAAAATCAGTTGAATTCTGTATACACAATTTTGCTATGTGCAACATATGTAAAGGACACAGAGAAGAGTTTTTCTAGCATTGCACATAGACTTATTTTAGAAAAAAATAAAGCTAAAAGTTATCTAGTTAAAGAGGAATTGTCTTCTTCCACTCTCCCCCACCCAGTCTTCCATATCATCACTAGTGATCAGTGAGGCAATGCTCATGGCAGTTCCACAAAAAACATCAAAAGGATAATTGCTTGGAAAAAAAAGTTTTGTTTATCCAAAACACCTCTTCATGTCATAACCTGAATGTGCTTTCACAGACTAAATATTCAATCATATAGGATTTACTATTGTTTATCCCAAGAATAAATAGAATTCTCTCATCTTCGATGGAGAAATCCTACGCAGTGCTCCAACTCCTGCGTCTTTTCTGCTGTGAAGCCCTCCCTGATTCTCCAAGGCAAAGCTGGTCACCCCTTTCTGGGCTCCCATATATTTTCTTCATAGCTCAATTACAGCACTCACCACATTGGATTGTAATAATTCTTATTTCCTTCATATGTATTCCTCTTTAGCTGTTTAGCTTTATTTATCCCTCTATAAGCTCCTCAGGAGCAAGAAACAAGTCTTAAGCTTCTTTACATCCCCAGCACCTAGCACAGTGCCTGGTACATAATAGAACCTCAATAACTGTTTGTTAGGTTAATGAGTTAGGAACTATTTCAGCTGCAAAGCTATAATGCACATCTTTCCTTGCTTCCAGTCTCATTGAGTGTGTTCTCATTGAGTACTTAAACCTCTATGTTTGGTGACACCCTAGACACAAATATAACATCCAACATTTCCTTTCCGAAAGAAATGGCCTCTGGTTATCCTTCTGATAAAAACATCAATAAATTATAGTTATAATGATTTCCCTGATCTCCAACCCCCAAGACTCCTTTACATAAGAGCCACTTCTTAGGAAAGCTGATGCTAATAGCCATCTTGGCAGTCATTATCATCTTGATCCCCAATGGGTTTGTTGTGATAAGCATCGACTGTCAATTTTCTGCTTTCTAGCTCAGTGTTTTTCACCTGGCCATCTTCCTCGCTGCTTGATTTGCTCTCAGTAGAGTTGCTGTCTTCTTTTGATTTACTGCTATCTTGAGAGTCACTGTCATCATCTTCCTCAGACTGGCTGTCCTGCTCTGACTGGCTTTCCTCGCTCTGGCTCTCTGTGGAGGCACTGTGAGACTGGAGGCCCTCCTGGCTAGAACTGTTCTCCTCCTCAGTGGATTCCGGGCTTTCCTCCGAGAATTGGAGGCTCTCATTGGACTCACTGTCAGCTTGCTCCTCTCTGGATTTGCTTTCTGAATTGGAGGATTTATTCAAGCCATCCTCTTCATTGAAGTCACTATCTTCCTGATCTTCATCTGAGTGACTGGTGGTGTTATCCGGGTTGTCACCCCGGGGCTCACTCACTACCTCTTCCTGAGATTCACTACTGTTTTCTTGAGATGGCAAGTCAACCTCTTGACTAGACTCATTGCTGGGGTCTTGGACATTTTGACTGTCTTCCTGGGACTGATTCTCATTGCTGTCTTCTTGAGATTCACTCTTGCTGTTTTCCCTGGATTGGCTGAGGCCAGCTTCTTTGGAGTTGGTGTTTTCTGTGGAGTCACTCTTGACTTCTTCCACTGTGTTGTTGTCATCAAGCTCACCTCTGTCATCTTCCACAGAAACGCGGGACTTTCTGAAAAATTTCCTGCTGGGATACTCCACTAATAGGCTCTCACCTGAATCCTGAGTGCTTGCTTGATCATCATTGTTCTCTTTTGATTCTTTTGATTTGACGCTGGCAGTGTTCATTCTGGAGTTGCTTCTCTCACTCCTGATGTCTGGATCATCACTCTGCATTCCTTCATCATCAAACTCAGAGCCATCCCCATGGCTACTATCCCCCTCACTGCCGCCTCCCCCCCAGTGCTCCTCACTCTCACTCTCTTGAGTTGAGCCATCTCCCTCAGGCCTGCTGTATACCTCGTGCTTATAGTCAAAGTCCCTGCTCTCACTGGTGGTATCTTGGGCACTGTCTTCCCCTTGTGGGCTGCTATCTTCCCTGGATTGTGTGCTGTCAGCCGAGTCCTCATCACTTCTGAATCTGGAGTTTCCTCCGTGATTCTCTTCAGGTCCTGGGCCATTGTCATCATCACCAAAGGTGTCATCTCCACTGTCATCTTCATCATCATCTTTATCATATCCTTCTTTCCCTCCGCTCCTAGAAAGGCCACTAGCTGGTCTATACACATATTGATGGTCATCAAGGCCCTCCTCTGATTCGGCACTGTCACTGGGGACTTCATTTGCCTGGAATTTGGATTTAACAGACATGGTCAGTACTCTAGGAGCTGATACAGAGGGTGTTATCTAGCACCCATCTGGGCTCTGTCTGCTTTCTTCTTCCTATGTCCCTCCCTTAACCCATGGTCAATTTTACTGCTCAATAATATGTCTACCAGAGTCTAAAAAGAAAGGAAGAGGAGTTGAAACTCAAGTCATTCTATTTAATAAGGCACAACTCACTCAATGCTGCAAAAATTTCCTCAAAAAGCTTTACAGAAATCACATTATGAAACTCAAATCATATTGTAAGTATGATTCCTTAAAGGAAAGTCTAAGGTAGTTTTTTGAAATTAAAGAGTTGGTTTATAATGCTCACTCATCAAATTGTTTGGTTTAAAACAGAGTTTTAAAAAATACTGGGTGATTTTAAAATGACCCAAATGTTTTTGTTTTTTTAATCAACTCTGGGAAGAAAATGTATTAGGGCAGGAGGATGAAACCTTTAGCTAAAATGAAAGTAAAATATTGTAGCGAGGTATATATCTCACCCAAACCATGTTTACACGTCATTCGCACAGGCAGAGCTGCCTGTAGAAGGCTCAGCTAGAAGACTACAACTAGCGTGACCACCAAGGCAGCTTGCTTCTAAGTGTGAGCTCAGAGAGATTATCCCCATAAGTGAAACAATTGAACGCTCCACACAGATAAGGAAGGATAGTGAGTCTTCATTCATTACGCTCTGGAAAAATCTAGTGTCTTTACCATACCCTATAACAGAACATTATTGCCAACTTTTTTTTCTTTTTCCACATGTCCCTACAGATCAATTTCCATTTAGGAGTACAAGATGATATCTCTTCCCATCGCTAGAATTTACACTGGTCTGCTGGAACTGAGCGTCTACTGTGCTTTCCATACCTCAATAGGCACATAGTGTACCCTCCTCAAGCAAGGCCTGTTACCCTCATTTGAGAGCTCAGAGAACATTGAAGCAATAAATTACAACATCCCCAGAAAAGAGCTTTTCCCCAATTCTATGCTTAGAAATTTCTAGAATGTTCCTCTGATAAGCCTTTAGTAAATAGAGGTTAAAAGCCTAATAATTCACCCTCCAACTCTGGTTGAGGGTAGAATGCAACACAGGTCAAAGCCTCAGGAAGAAACCTGGTTCCTGAAATCTCTGGAGCCCCACAGGGTTGAATTCGGTCAAAAATGATAGGACAGCTAAGAAAATACTGACATTTTCTCTTAGAAAAATGAAAAACAAAAAGAAGAAGAAAAAGAGAGAAAGCCAGTTTTTTATTAAAGGGATATAAGCTAACTCAGCTTTTCTCACTCCCAGGGCCGCAGATGAGTCTGTTTTAAAGAGAAAGAGTCTGTTTTACTAAAGCAGCTATTTCATCAAATTTTCCCCAGGGCTCTCCTAGTCTCTCCTCCAACAGGTTCCTCGACACGGAGGAGGTCTCCAGCCCAGCAGGCACTTCCTGTTGGCCAGGACACTTTTTTCTGCCTGATCTGAGCTGCTCCAATTGTAAAAGCAGAACTTTAGATTGATGAGTGAGCTATTCCTTGTCTAACACAGTCTATGACCATTCATGTGTGTGTATGTGTATATATTCTTAACTGGATGCACACATAGGGCCACGACGTCTATAATCTGGACCCAGTGATAAATATGGAATGAACAGCATGCCCACATCTGAATTCTCCCACTCATTTTTCCCTTCTTAGTTTGTGGAAGTATTTAGCCAGCATAACCAATGGTTAGAAAATATTATATTTAGAACAGTTGCCAGGTAATTTAATCTAACATCATTTCCTTCAATTCCTAAGTAGCCTAAAAAGTTAAGAAAAGTCTGTTTAATTACCTGTTCCTCTGAGTTAACTTTACTCTCTTCTGATGACTCACTGCTCTCCTAAAAGGAAAAAAAGATGTTGTTTACTTTTCCTTTTAAGTAATTCCTGAGGAAAGAAAAAAATATGATACACATCAATTGCTTGCGGTTTGGATTTACTGCTTTCCAAATGGCCCAAGGTGATGAGCAGAGTGTTAAAGTTATTTCATGAGATGTTATGACAAAAAATAAAGGAGATAGCTACCAAAGGTGGTGTTGGTGTCTGAGCCAAGTGACCCTGTGAAAAAAGAAGGAAAACAACTTACTCCAAAAATGGATTATGTCACTGCAAATATTTAGAATAATTTTAGGTGATTTTTTTTTTAGTTTCTTGATCTATATTTTATATTTACATGAGTAATAATGACATTTTATGGAGAAATGGCTAAAAAATGAATATGAGATGACTGATGGCCTGAAAAGATCTTGTAATATAAAAGACCTAGATGATTTTGTATTTCTGATCTTCAGTTAGCGAAAAATATACTTTCGTTGAAGCTGGTTGTTCACACAACCCAGAGGAAATGTAACACAGGAAAAACAGCATTGGAACTCAAAACTCAGATTTAAGTCTCAATTGGCTCCTTGGTTTGGTTTTAGCCCTGAAAACCAACCATCTTGGTGTTAGCGCTGAAATTCATGTGTTTCAGGAACTGCCTAAATCTCCAGTAAACTGTAATGGTTGGTCACTCTAAGTGAATTTGGACAATTCACTTCACCTGCCTGATGTCACATCCTCATTCATAAATTAAGAATATTAGCAACCACTGTGGTTACTCCACAGGGTTGCTGTGAGGATGAAATTGGCTAATGCCTATGGAACATCTTGAAAACTGTTCAATCTGATATAAACTAAAGAAATGATCCATTTTGAGAACATCCACTTTATAAAATTTAATAGCAGACAAAACTGAATTGAGAAAGCCATGAAACCTTTCTTGAGTCACATAAGATCATCAAAATAAAAAACAGATGCTAAATCTGAAACTTAATTAGTCATAGTTCTGATTTATTTCACTTTTTTTGATCTTATAAGAACTCTAAGAATGCCTGAGCTACCTGAAGTGCCTTCGCCCCACCTACCCACCCCCTTCCCCTGGAGCACGGCAAAATCCCGTGTGACTCAAAGCCGCTGAGCAATAGGTGTGAAGATGTAAGGTACAAAGCAGAGCAGGGAGGAGCTGCCATCAACACGTCTTCAACAAGCCCCTCAGCAATGCCAGGCTGGGGATATCTCCTCAGAGGAAGGAGCTACGCATAGTGACACTGCAGGCAGGTGCAATGCCGGACTTCACTCCAGTCAGTTATCACTTGGAATTAAGGGATGGAAGGGAGCAGGACATTGGTATTTTTCTCATGTCAAGACTAGACTTGAGAACACAGCACATTTGTGGTACTCTTAAGAGTCTCTGTTTGAATGAGAGGAAGGATCTACAGTGGCTGCTTTTAAATTAACCAGCCTAAGGACATCTCTGCTGAAAGTTCATGTAAGAAATCCTGCAACGTCTGTTCCAGCCTCAGGCAGGGGCAGGACGCCATCTCAGGCATCTGACATTCTCTGGCCACCACTAATAGGGTTGTGCCCAAGCTGTATCATAGGCAAAAGCCAGCAGGAAACAAGGTAACGGACAAAACACTCTGACTTAACATAAGACTTTAACCCTTATTTGTAGTTCCAATCTTGAGAACCTACTGACCTCCTAGACCTGGCCCCTTCCTGAGAGGGATGTAACACCATGGTAAAGAATGTGGATTCTGGAGCCAGAGTGACCTGGGGTCGAAGTCTGGCTCTTATTAACCATATAACCTAGACAGATTAGGTTATTCTCTGTGTCTCAGTGTTCTCATTTGTAAAATGAGGATAAAATACAGCATCTAAATCATTGGGGTGTTGTAAAGATTGAGAAAGTTAGTACATGTGAAGTACACAGAACTGTGCCTGGGAATGGTTCATGAGTTATTGAGAGTTAGTAACTACTGGGTTATTCAGAGGTAACACTCAAAAAACATTAGCTACCATTCCAATGACTCTAGCATCCTCTCCTTCTTTATTTTCTCACCTTCCGGGACTTGACCTCCTGCCTGCTAGACATCTCCTAGTAAAACAGATTTCTAGTCCTAATTCATCAAGGGCAGTCTTGGTTCATTGTCATTCATCCCCTTGCACTACTATACACATCCATTATGAAAACAAAGCTAAAGGAAAAAATACTTCCTCACCAAATTATACTACATTGGAGTTGAAGCATTATATAAAATAAATTTTCTTTTATGAACTAGAAATTGTAGCTCTTACTACCTATATCTTAGGTTATTAATGTGTTCATTGAATCATTAGTAGTTTCGATATTTGCGATGGAGCCAATTTGGTTACACTAATAAAATATTAAAATAAAAATACTCCAAAAAATCTTATTTCTACTCACCTTCCATTCTTCAGAGCTCTTGGATTCAGTATTTTGATACCTGGCTACCTAGAAAATTTAGTACACATGGTCAGCTCACAGAGAAATTTCCAAGGCAGTAGCTATTAACACTTTGCATACTTAGAAGCAGTGGTAGTCAAATTTTAGGGTGCATCAGAATCACCTGGAGGCCTGTTAAAACACAGATCGCTGTGCCCCATCCCTAGAGAGTCTGCTTCAGTAGGTCTGAGGCAGGACGCAAGAACTTGCATTTCTATCAAAGTCCTAGTTGATGCTGATGCTGCTGGTCTGGGGATGACACTTTGACAACCAATGCTTATGACAAAGAAAAATGAGAATCATAGCTATATGAATGGCAACTGAACAGAATAAGGAATAACTCGATGATATTTTAAAGAAAATAGCTTCCTGAGAAACTACTATTTTCTTCCTACTGGAACATACACAGCCACCATGGATCATAGCCAATGGAAATTGTGGAGTTTTAGGTATACAAGGTTTGTTTCATATATCTTTACCCTGATACTTACTGGGAGAGCACAGGACAACCCCCAAAGGGACATAAGCAGGATGCTGGTCTTCATAGCTGGTGTGACACCTCTACCTGTGAAAAAGGACAGACGATGTTTTCCTCACGCTAAAGAAATATAGGAACTTCAACTTTTTAACAGTTTCTTCCTATTATTAATAAAACAACTCATCCAAATGTCTATCAACTAATGAATGGGTAAATAAAATGTACTGTGTTCATACAATGGAATATTATTCAACCATAAAAAGAAATGGAGTACTGATGAGTGTTACAAAGTAGAGGACTATTATAGAGTGAAAGAAGCCAGACACAAAAGACCACATAGTGTATGATTCCATTCCTATGAAATGTCCAAAATAGGCAAATCTGGGCCGGCCCCGTGGCTTAGCGGTTAAGTGCGCGCTCTCCGCTGCTGGCAGCCCGGGTTTGGATCCCGGGTGTGCACTGACGCACCGCTTCTCCGGCCATGCTGAGGCCACGTCCCACATACAGCAACTAGAAGGATGTGCAGCTATGACATACAACTATCTACTGGGGCTTTGGGGGAAAAAATAAATAAATAAAATTATTTTAAAAAAAATAGGCAAATCTATACAGACAGAAAGTAGGTAAGTGTTTGCCCAGGGCTGGGGGAAATGGGGGGTTGAGGGTGATAGCTAAGGGGTGAAGTTTGAGGTGATGAAAATGTTCTGAAATTGATTTCGGTGAGAATTGCACAACCCTGTGAATATACTAAAAACCATTGAACCGTACACTCCAAATGGGTAAAGTATATATGTGAATTATATCTCAATAAAGCTGTTTTAAAAAACACCTCACTCCTAAGGGGTAAATTGAAAACTTTTCAATGAGGAACTCTATAACTAACATAGCACATAAACTTCTTCACTAACACATAAAATATGATAAATGGAGGAAAAAGTAAAGAAAGAGGAATAGAGAAATTTCTAACCATTCACTTTTATAATAATTATGCAGCTTGGTGTGGCAGAGCAACCCAGCAAATATATTCTCCTTAAAAACTACATTTATTGATACTATTGATAGGTCGTGTGTGTTTGTCTTCACAGACACGCACAAATGGCTTCTCTGTCACATTTATAACCTCATAACAATGTCTAGACAAAATAGATTGGTTTTGCTTTTTTTTTCTTGATCTGCAAGAGATGTGCTATGGCAGGCTTTATAGTTCAGCTCCAGAAAGCTCTTAATATCTACAGTGCTCCATTTAGTTATACATTATACATGATTATGCTAAATTCTTTGAAGTGTCATTCACAGTCCTGAAGGATCTCAGGAAGATTAGAGGTTTGGGAGAGACTTGAGAATCATGCTGAGAGAAACACGCCAACTCAAACTGTCTTTTCCTGGAGGGTGGCTTCATTTCACACTTCAAGGACTGGTGATTTGGAACACAATTTGTTCTACATCTAAAAATAGATGCACTAGATGCTAATGTAAAAAGTTACTGAAATGATTTAAGTGGAAAATAATTTGCCCTGTACTAGAAAGCCCTATGGCACCCAAACAGACTTGTCAGATAGACTTCCATACATTTTGTGGAAAATCTTGCAAGTTTATTTCAGACTTCACTTCGTCGATTTGTTTCCTTAAATATTAAATATATACTATACTAGTGACAAAAGCTCTAAGCCAGAGGTCCTCAACCCTGACTATACATTAGTGTCACCTGGGAGATTTAAAGACATACCAATGCACACATCCCACCACAGTATAAATCAGTTCACTGGGGGTGGGAACAGGCGTGGGTTTAAGGAGCTCCAAATGATTTTAACCTCTCATCTAAGAAATAAAAATACCTTGTCGACAATGTCTGAATATGCTGAATAATGTCTGAAACACTGGGCTCAAGAAGTCATCTAATCTTATTCTTTATTCAAGAAAACAACAGAAATCCTAAGATGAGGAGACAGAATATCCCTCATTTCTACTTCCATTCAGCTCAAATGGTCTGACAGAGCCTCTCATTTTATATCACGAGCATTACCCCTCTTCAACAAAGCTATTCCTAGTTTGTGTTATTTTCTTTATTCTAATTCAGCATAGTTCACATTATTCCTTGTGTTCTGATGTTATTTTTATTTCTTTTTCAAATCCTTTACCTAATATCAACAGAGAAAACATATGAAAGTGTTCAAGTGCACCTAAAACAAGCCTAATTCAACAAGATATTAGTTCTGAAGGAAACCAGAAAATTTCATCCTCAAAGATGCCTCTTTCATGTAAAAATTATTTTGAGCTGAAGGCACTCAGGAAACAGCAGATGCAAGAAGGGTACTCTGATCCTCCTTTTTCTTCCTGAAAGCAGGAGCTAAAGCTCCCACGTGTAAAGTGTCTTCCTGGACCAGGAGGAAAGAAGACATTCTTATCACCAGAGACAGAATCAAGGCTGAGAGAAGTCTGTACCAACCAACCTTGTTAGACTAACCCTATCTTCCTAGTCACTTCTCCACAATTTACTGCCCCTCACCCAAACCCCTTTGTCTTGTTAATTCTTCACAAAATGTATTATTTCTTTGTCTAAAAAATGTAAAAGTTTTCTGCTCTCGTCACTTCTTCAGGTCTTCATTCTCTTGTGATGGTTCCCATGTACATGTAAAAATTTTAATAAAACTTGTATGCTTTTCTCCTGTTTATCTGTCTTACATCAGTTTAATTCTTAGGCCCAGCCAGAGACCCTAAGAGAGTAGAGGAAAATTTTTCCTCCCCTACACTTCTCTTTAGTTCACACAATCCAAACTTTTTTTTTTTTTAAGTTCTCAGGTTCATTTCTTAAGGAAAGGAAAGTTTCCCCCAAATATGATACTCTCAAAATAACTGCATACCGATAGTTTTGGCTTCACAGGTCAAATGAAAATTAAGCCACTCACCATTTTAATTTTCAAAGTGAAATTTGAATAGGGTAATAATCTCATGATGCTCTGAAAACTAGCAAATATTCCAGCCTTGATAAAAGACCAATGAATACTGAATTCTCCTCTTGTATTTTCTTTTGCTTCCCTCTTGTCTAAATAACAAAACAATGAGGAGATGCTCTACACCAATGAATGTTGTGTGTTTTACAAATGAAGTGTGTGCTTCCAGTGTTCAGGTTTCTTAGGGATAGAATGTTATGAAACATAAGGAAGATGTACTAACTTGCTCATGCTTCTATAAATACCATTTAGCACCCTGACTAAAGTAGTAATTTCCCAAATGGAAGTCTGATAAACTAAACTAAAATATACCCTGGGGTCCTGAGAGAGCTGATATTACCTCCCAAAGAATGTAGTCTGCCATCAAGCATCTAAAGTCAGATCTTCAACCCTGTATTAGATTTTCAATTAGTATTTCTTGATAAGAATAATTATACTTTTGTGAAGTATATTTCCAAATGAGAGTTCCAAACTTCTATAAACTTTTTATCTACCACCCTAAAAAGAGTAGAAGTAGGTATGCAGTAGCCCTATTCTGAGTAAAAACTTAGCAAAATAGCTACTAGCCTGAAAGATATGAGTCCAGAAATCCAAGTTCTTCTTCAGTGATTGGCAAATGTCATTTCTCCGTTGTACATGCTGTCATTCTACAGTGAGAGCATGTAACAAAAGGAAATCAACAACCTCAATCTGAGTTCTACCTGTTTGGAAGGCAATGTATGTATTAGAGACTTGCAACCTTTATGAATTGTTTTCCCAAAGTTGAAAAGATCCAAAATGTTTAGAATCTAAAGAAGGGGATTGCAGTCCCTTTTCTCCCTGGCTCCCCTCAAGTGTAGTGAGAACTTCTTGGTGCTTTCAAGTAAGGAAACTTGTTCTGGAATTTCCCCAAAGTTAATATTCGCTTATAAAGTACATATCTTCTTTTATGTAAACTGAAATGAAAGAAATAGGCCAAAGGAAAGAAATAAAAGCTTGAAAAATCATAGACTCAATTTATCACACTTAATTTGCTTATTTTTGACTTAGTGTTGTTGTCCTTAATACTAACATATCCATTCATTAGCAGTCAACAGATATTTATTGAGAACATACTAAGTGCCAGGCACTGTTCTAGGCTCTAAGTGTACAGGAATGTGTAATAATGATAATAAGCTGGTCTTACAAAAGTAAAATTACCAAGAACCCAACTAACCAGGACCTCCATTAGCTAGAATTTGTTTTGTTATTATACTGAAAATAAGGTAGAATTTGGCCAGGACATGAATTCACAAATTCTATCAGGAATTTGGAGAACCAAACAAATAAATCAACAAAAATTTCAAATCTTTCCAATTGTAATTGTCTTGAGGTCAGTTACAATCAATCCCATGTTACATGCCTTCAAGCAGAGTAAAATAACTCCTAAGTATCCCCAAATTAAATATAGATTTGGAAGGCCTCTAAGCATCTGTGGCACATTGGTCCACATCTCCATTTTGGGGTAGGTAGGTGAGTAGACTAATGCCCTTTAGAAAACTGTTTATTTGTTCACATGTTTAACCAATCACGTTAAAGTAGGATAGTCTACTTGGCCCTCGGTTAAACAGAAAGTATGGTTCACCAGAAGTTATTGCTCCTGAAGAAGGCAGGTTGCTTGAAGTGTTGCTATTACACATGGGATCTTCTAGATGTCATACAGAGTGCATTGACTGACCACAGCTCCTACTCTCTGTTATGGAAGACAGACACTTCTGATATGAATGAAGAGGTGGAATAAATTCAGCAAATAAAAAAACATATGGACAGGAGTATATATACTCCTAAGTCTCCTAAACTAGAAGATGTTTTAAAAAAACAATTATATTCACATTTATTGAGCTATGACTGTATGCAAGCCATCATGCTAACATTAATACCCAGTTAAACAATACGAAAGCATGATAATTATCACACTCTTGGTTTATTTCAGTGGTCTTAGCATCTTCTTTCAGTTACTGAGTTCATAGTGAATGTTACTGGATGCTGTCTAGATGAATAGCATTAAATATTTTTTAGTTTAAAAGCCCATGTTTTGAAAGTTCTGCCAATCTAGTTTAGATTCTTTCATAATGTCTTACAGGCCATGAACATCACTATATGCACAAAACCTAAATGTACACGTTTTGTTTGTTTTGCTATTTAAAGTTAAACTTCAAAATGACCTTCCATCTGCCTCCTGTTCAGTAAACTTTCCTTTCAGAAGTACTGTGCAGAGATCTAATTAAAGTATTACTGAGACAACACCTGGCTCTATTGACTTAATGTGTCATTTTAATATCATTATTTACTGTGACATAAACAACAGGCACAAAAGTGGGAATCATTTTTACCCAAGACGCAGCTCTCCCCATCTTTCTCTGCATGGCATAATGCCTCTCAACATGTATACATATTTAATATTTTCCAAACAACACAGCAGAGGTCATTTTAAGAAATTAAATGATGAAAATGTCTTACCCTCTTCAGTTCACAAAGACTTTTCCCAAAAAGTCTCAACAATCAGGCTGAAGTTCTCACAGAGGAAATCTATGCTCAATGAATCCACTCTTGTGTTGATGTTCTGAACACATCTCTGATGCTGCAGGAATTTAAACTCTGCTTCAGCTCTTCACAGCCAATCAGCTTTGGGCTGGGAGTGACTGACATCACAAGGTGTCACCGGGACTCCAGCACACCCACACTTCCTCCAGCTTGCAGGGGCAGATTTTCCCTAAAAAGCTCTGTGGTTCCCAAATGACTAGACTAGTTTCCATTAAATTGAAGATCTTCCTAAAGCTTTATTTTGATTTCTAAATATATATCATTCACATCCATGCAGGCTTATGAGCATTATAAACAATGACAGTATCTTCCTCCCACTGATAGGTCCCAGCAGACACAAGAATGGGAAAAGGAGAGTCAAGGGGTGGCTAGAAAGTTTCCTGTTAATGTACATTTCAGGTTGTACATGACGAACCTACTAAAATACTAGATTTGCCTAAATTGTTGGTGTTGAGAGTATGGGCTTTTATTCTTTCCCTTTTCATCTTTTAGCAACCTCTACTACTCATCTACTTTTCCTTTCATCTCCCTACTCCCATATACACAGCAAGGTCCAAAATTCTTACTAATCTCATGAAGCATCCACTTACAGAATTCTGTAGTGATTGGAAATGCACCACCTAAGTAACTTTTATTTTTAGCCAAAAATAATTTAAATTAAACACTTCAATATTCCCCCCAACTGCTTGCCACGTTTTGGTTTTAATTCTGGTGACTCTTTGAAATCGGAATTGGATTAAGGAGAAGACTAGTTGGGTAGCATCCAGAGAAACCAGTTTGCAAGGGACTCTCTGCCATCGGTGAAAAAGCAAAGAAATGGATAAAATGGTATTTATCAGGACTCTTCAACAAGTGTACTGAAGGTTGCTGTAGGGAGCTGGAAGTATCAATAGAATGCCCGCTGAACAAATATTTAAAGGATATCAGTCAGTGGGCTTTAACTTCCTCAAGAGTGGAGATGTTTGCTTCGTTTACTGGTGGATACCCAGTGCCCTAATACCTAGGCTCCTGGGCCATAATAAACACTCAGTAAATACTTTTGTGAATGACTGAATAGGTTGCCTTCAAAATGGACCAAATTATTAACTTGACTGCAGTATGCACATGACTCACTCTGTCTTTTTTTGAAAGTGTTATGATTGTCGGCAATTTTAGTTGATACTCCTACCAACCTGGCTCTAGACAACTGGGGTGCCCAACTTTATCCAGGAAACTAATATTAAATATATGGATTCTTAACTTATTCAGTGTGAACTGCAACAGGGTGGGGGGACAGAAAATGAGGAGAGAGGAGTCTATTTTCATACAGGGCTCATTAGAAGACCAAAGATCATATGAGGCAGCTATAAATTCCCTATGTTCTGTCCTGGTTCTGAATCACACTTTCTAGTGGTTTTATAGGTCTTGACTGAGCTCTACCCTAGAAGAACCTTATAATCTCATGTCAGAGCAGATTCTGAGAAGATTTTGGCAGAGGGTGTTACAGGACACTTTTTTAGAATCTCTCCAAATCCCCACATAAAAACAGGCAGAGCATCTAGATAACAAAACTAAAAACCACAGACAACATTTACAACAAAACTAAATGTTTTAGTTACCTATAGCTGCATAAAAACCACTCTAATACTTTGTATCTTTAAACAACAACCTATTATCTCCTATAGCTTGGGCTGCAGTCATCTGGGGACTCAACTGGAATAGAATATTCGAGATAGCTCTCTCATATGGTTGTTGTCTGGGAGCTCAGCTGAGACTGTTACTCTGAGCACTTCCGTTCTCCTTTATATGGCCTTTCCTTGTGGCTTAGCCTTCTCACATGGTGGCTAGGGTCTAAGAGCTACCAAAAATATCACTTTCTCCACATTCTATTGGTCAAATCAGTCATAGGGCCATCCCAGATTCAGAAGGAGAGATAGTCTTTACCTTTTGATGTGAGGAACAGATGAATGTACAGTGAGCAGAGGAAATGTTGAAGCCATTTTAGAGACTAGTTACCATACTACATGACAGGTTATATCCACAAACTCCAAACAAAGTGGCTGAGGACAAACCACCAGCTGCCACAAGACCTACATCATCTCTGCAGGAGTAAGCAGAGGGAAGCAACAGGACATCTGATGGACGTGAGAACAGGAAAACCCCAAAACAGTCAATAATTATTGCTGGTAGGTGCCAATGGCACATAATGAAATCTGAAGAATCTACCCCCTAAGAATTCTCAGAAGAGCCACCACAGCTGCCTTCTAGGACAGGCTCATATAGAGGAAAAACCACCGGGAGTGGAATAAAAATTGCACAGAATAGGTACAATAGAGAAGGCACAAATAGGTGTCAGAGAGGGAAAGGGATCCAGCAAATCTTAGAAAGCAAGCTGCTCTATTTTTTTTAACACAACATGAAAACAACAGAAGAGGGAGTTATGTGAAATCTACGCTGAGTTATGCCTCCTTCTAAAAGTTCAGGAAAACCAATTTTACATAAAACAAATAGCAAAAAACTATGAAGTTTGAATCCCATAAGAGCAGAAAAACAAACAACCTTATAGACAACGAAAGCATGCTGACAATACATCAAAACCATAACTTTCTGTTTTACAAAGAGCAAAAAGACATTTAAAAATACACCATAGATGAAAAAGAACATAAATAAAAATTATAATAACAGAAATTAAGTATCAGAAATCGGGGAAAATTTTGAAATAAAAGAAAGAATTATTTTGTAAAAGAAGACTAAACTAGAAGTAACACAAGAGGGAATAAACACAACAGATAATTCCTTAAGAGAACTAGAAGGCAAAAAAGAGGAAAATGTTTTAAATTTAAAAGAAATGAAGGAAGAGAATAAAAGTATTTGGTAGCAAGTGACTTTGAAGATTGGCAAAGAAGATCCAAATTACAGATAACAGGAGCTTTGAAGAAGCTAGCAAAAGTGAAGGAATGGCAGAAATACTAAATAAATAAATAAACAAGCAAATAGCAACACTTATAATTCAAGGAAATTTCTCTGAATTAAAAAAAGATTTAAAGCTCATATTTAAAGAGCACACCATGTACCTGAGAATATCAGCCTAGAATGATCAGTACCAAGACATATTCTATCAAAATTACTGGACTTTGAAGATAAAGAAAGAAGTCCTTTGGGCTTCTAGGCAAAAGCAGCAAGTGACTTATAAGGGAAAGAAAAGTAGATTATTGTAAGACTGTTTGACACAATGCTTTATGCCAGAAGAAAACGCAATAATATATTTAAGACATTCAAGATAAGAAAAATGTGAACCAAGCATTTTACAGTAAGCAAAACTGACTTTCAGGTATAAAGTTCTCAAACAAACTAATAACAACACGCAAGAACTCAGGGAATACTGTTTCCTCAAACCCTTTCTGGAGAATCTACTGCAGAGTGAGCTTCAGACAACCAAAATGACTAGGAAACATCGTCATAAGAACAGGTGGTAAGCATTAAACATATAGTTACTTGTAGAAATAAAATTAAATGAGGCTGAAGAGAGAGTATAGTATGTAATGGTTATGTACTTAGCATGGATATAGTACTACTTTTAAAAAGGTAGGGAGATTGAAGAACACATGCAAAAATAATTTCAAATTTTGTCAATAATTATACTATTGATGGCAACATTATTGTTATTCTGAAAATGTTATGAGATGGATAAAGTAAATTAGTAATTATAAATTATTCAATTTCTTTCTATTAATGTGTCCTTGAGAATTAAGATTCTCAGTGTGGAAGATACAAATTTGATACAGAAGAGGGTAAGTAAGAAATCCTGTAATCCTAAATTTAAATGAAATGAATTAGAATTTAGGAATTATTTAAACACTCACACACACACACACCATGTATATCTTAGCTCTGTCCCTTTAGACACCTAAAAACAATGACAAACACAGTTGTAGTTAGCATCCTTGACACCCAGATTGCAGCCCAGTGCCCAGGGCCTCTTGAGGAGTTAGTTGATTCCAGGTCTGTGGCAAGAAATGTACAAGATGAGACTGGAACATCTTGTCACACCAGATTGCAAGAAAGCTATCAAAGACTACTGGGATTCTGTCAAAAGTTCTCAAGAGCCAACATGAATAGATCTCCACTAGCCAAAGGTGGAACAATGTAATCTTTAAAATAGATAATAGTTGCAACAGACTGAAACCTGTCAAATAATTTTAAATCCACGAATTTATAAGGATATTACAAAAATAAAATAAAACACTAATGAGTCACCTTGGTGATGACAAGGAGCTCATTCATTATGTAGAAAACTTATAAGTAAATGGGAAGAATAGGGCATTTGTCCAGCCCTATGTGAACTGAACCAAATTAGAGATGAAGAGAAGCATATCTTTATAAAAGTATTCCAATTAACAAATTAGAAGGAATGATAGAATTCACCATTTTGCAACCCCTCATGAATTAATCATGCAACCCCTCATGAATTAATCAATCTGGGCATTCCACATCAATGGTGCGCAAGAAGAGAGACAACCAAACGACGCGCTTTCCCTATGAAAGAACACAATATCACCTATAGTCGGCCAAGTGAATCAAACCCAAGGCGATCAAACCTCTGGATCCAACTGCCACGTTGTAGGAAATACAGACAACAGAGGAATGTTTTGCACCACGTGTGTAATCAGTAAAATTTAGACTGTGGGAACCACGACAATTCAAACACTTCAGGTTCTTCAACAGATACATTTATTAGGAAAAGAGAGAAGACATGGAAGTGTAATTTAAGTGATTTTGAGACTTAAAATACATAGCAATCTCTTTTAAATGGGCAAAACTCGATAATAGTTTCAGGTTTACACACTTGCGTGATAAAACTATAAAGAAAATCAAGAAAGTGATTTCTGTAAAATTCAGGACTACTTTTGGGGAGATGAGTGTTTAGTCGGGATGGAGCACATGAGGGACCTCCGGGGTGACTGGCAACATTCCCTTTCTTGACGTAGATGGTGGTTTCACGAGTAGTCACCTTATAACAACTC